GAATAGCCGGGCATGGTGACTCATGCCTGCAAACCCAGTACTTTGGAAGGTTGAGGCAGGTGGATTGCTTGAGCTCGGGAGTTCTAGACCAGCTTGTGCAACATAGTGAGACCTTGTCTCCACCAAAAAAAAAAAATCAAAATATTAGCCAGGCATAGTGGCAAGCACCTGTAGTTCCAGTTATTTGGGAGGATTGCCTGAGCCCAGGAATTCAAGGCTGTGATGAGTTATGACCATGCCACTGCACTCCAGCCTAGGCAACAGAGTGAGCTCCCACTTAAAAAAAAAAGAAAAACACATGTATATATGCCTATATATATCTCAACTTGTTCTCCATAAAGCATTTTTATCTACTTTCTCTCATTAATATCCCCTGTTCCAAAAGCCCATAAGACCATGGAGAAACAGGCTCCAAGAGTTGTGCCTTCCCCAGAGCCCAGGGGCTGTGAGGGTCCAATCCCAGGGGACTCCCAGGTGGAGGGCCCTGGTGGGGGATGGAGTCTGTGACTCGAATGGGACCTGTCTAAACCAGGCGGGAGCACCCGGGAGCCGGGAGGCTTCACTCCAGGCTGACTCATTGGCCCACCTTCTCCATCCTGGAGTTCCCTGTCGGGCTTCTCCAGCCAGGGAGGCAAGGATGTCCTGCCTGTTTGTGAGGGAGGAGGAGGAGGCCTGAACATATTCTAAGTGCCAGGCCCATGCTGGAGGCGTTACTTGGGGTCTCCCAACCATGCAGGATGGGGCTTAGGAGACTGATGCTCTGGGGAGGAAAAGAAGGAGAGAGAAACAAGGAAGGGGGAGTAGGAGGAAGAAGAATAGAAGAAGGAGGAAGGGGAGAGGAAGAAAAGGAGGAGGGGGGAGGAGGAGGAGGAGAAGCAGAGGAGGAGGAGGGACAGGAAGAGGAAAAGGAGGAGAAAGAAAAAAAGAGAATGGAAGAGAAGGAGGAGGAAAAAGAACAGGAGGAGAAAAAGAAAACAGAGGAGGAGGAAAGGGAAAAGAAAAGGAAAGAGACAAGGAGGAAGAGACAAGGAGGAGGGTAAGGAGGAGGGAGAGAAAAAGGAAAAAAGAATCTGAAAATGCAGAAGAGGAAAAGCCCTTATCTTTTCTTTTTTTTTTTTTTTTTGAGTTGGAGTCTCACTCTGTCACCCAGACTGGAGTGCAGTGGCCGCTCCTGGCCACCGCAGCCTCGACCTGTTGGGCTCTGGCGATCCTTCGCCTCAGTCTTCCAAGTAGCTGGAATTACAGGCATGCGCTACCACGCCTGGCTGATTTTTTGATTTATTGTAGAGATGAGGTCTCACTGCCCAGGTGGGTCTCGAACCCGCGGGTTCAGGCAATCCACTCACCTCAGCCTCCCAAAGGCGCAGGATTACAGGCTGAGCCACAGAGCCTGGCTGGAAAAGCCCTTACCCATGCCTGCCTACAGTGTATGACTGAGTCTTCACAACTGCCCCCACTCTACAGATCAGAAACCAAGGCCCTGAAGTCACAGAGCAAGTACATGCTGAAGCCAGAATCCAGCCCCACCCACCCGATGCCTGGCCAGGGCCCTTCCCACACGTGTGGCCACCCCTTGCAAACATCACCTCTTCCAAGGCTGAGGTGTTCCCCTCAGTTCAGTGTGGACTGTCATCCCTTCACAAATGCAATCATAGGGGATGAAGAGGCATCACTGGGGACAGGAAGGACGGAGGACCCTTCCTCTTTCGTGGCTCCCGGGTGGCAGCCTGGAAGAACATCTCCAGGTGCGGGCTTACCGAAGCCCAAGCTGAGGCCAGAGATTCTAAAATTCCTCGGAGCTCCCCTTTTCCACCCCTCTCCTGCCCGATGCCTCTGAAAGTGACCACTTATGAGGAAGACCAGAGCTGGACAAACATGTGCCCAGCCCTGAAGGGTTAGACAACTTCTGTGGAAAAGAGTGTAGTGATTCCTAAAAGATCTAAAAATCGGCCTTCCACACGACCCAGCCTTCCTCTTACTGGGAATATACCTAGAGGAACTCAAGTCATTCTACAAAAAAGATACCTGCACATGCATGTTTGTTGCAGCACCATTCACAATAGCAAAAACATGAAAACAACCATGCTGCCCATTGAAAGTGGACTGGGTAAAGAAAAGGTGGCACATATACACGATGGACTGTTTTGCAGCCATAAAGAAGAAAAAAATTAGGGACTTTGCAGCAACTTAGAGTCTAGGATGGATTTAGAGTCTATCATACTCTGATCTATCACAGAAACAAAGAACTGAGTACCACATGTTCTCACTCATAAGTGGACCCTGAACATTTATTGTAATACTACATAAAAGAGATTGGCAGTAACCGGAAACTGCCAGGGAAGCGGGGGAGCACATAACATCAATGGGGTACCTGATCTCAAATCAGGTGAAGTGGGGTCCAAGGGGAGGCCCAAACTTTACCTGTATCATGACCTTTTGTCTACCTAATTCTGAGTTATACCCCACATCTTTAAAATAAATTTTTAATAAATAGAACTGATCATGGGTCTGTCTAGGGACTCAGGGAGGGTTTCCTGGAGGAGGTGGCCATTGGAGGAGAGTGTTGAAGGCTGAGCAAGAGCTCACCAAGCACACTTGGGAGTTCTACACCTCAGGGACAGGTGTGGACTGTGGAAGAAAGAAGTAATTTTGCCACATCTCCCTCCCTCCCCGTCAGGGTCAGCCAAGTTGATGACACCATGCTTCAGGTTGGGCTACAACAGCCCTGGCCATGATGGGAGTGTTAGCACCCAAATGATAGGAGTGCCACAGCCTGAGATTGAACAACATGTACTTAACAAAACCTGAAATGAATAGCTGCCTATCCAAACGTGCTTGGCATTGACTTCTAAGTGGGTGGACATTCCCTCAAAGTTCCTGAAATTCTTAGTCACTGTTACATCTTTGTCCATGCTGTTCCCATAATTGATTGCCATTTCTGTTTTGGGGAACTCCTATTCATCCTTCAAAGCCCTACTCAAACAACGCTTCTGCTGGATAGCCCACCTGGCTAGAATCCCAGGTGGGCTCTGGGAGTTGAGGACTCACCCATTGCTCAGAGGCCCAGTGTGCCTACCTGAGGCTCCCAACAGGGGCTTGATATAATCAGGGTGCACCAGAACCAACAGTGGCAGGATGGGTCCCATCCACACCAAGATCACGTGGTGCATGTTGTCTAGCACCTTCTTCTCATCTTGAAGGCCCGTCTCATTTGGGAGGTACTGCAAGAGGTAAGAGGGGGACGATCAAGAGAGGCACAGCCCAGCTTTTCTGGCCTCTTCCTCCCACCACCTCCTGTAGCTTCAAAGCAAACCCAGCAGTGCTGTGTGATTTGGGGCAGTTGGCCACATCTCTCTGGGCCTCCATTTCCTCATCTGAAAAATGGCGAAGAACCAACTCTCCCTCTGAGGGCAATTGAGAGGGTAAGAGACCCAGCATGGTCCGGACACACAGCTGGTGTTCACGAAATAAAAATGGTGGCCCACTGTGGTGGCTCCTGCCTGTAATTCCAGCACTTTGAGAGCCTGAGGCAGGAGGATCACTTGGGGCCAGAAGTTCAAGACCAGGCTGGACAATATAGTGAGACTTCATCTCTTAAAAAAAGAAAAATTAGCCGGGTGTGTTGGTATGCACCTATAGTCCCAGCTACTTGGGAGGCTGAGATGGGAAGATTGCTCAAATCCAGGAGTTCGTGGCTGCAGTGAACTATGATTGGACCGTTGTGGCCAGCCTGGGCAGAGAGAGAGATCTTGTCTCTAAATAAATAAATAAATAAAGTAAAATAGTAGCAGTAAACACAATAATGATATGGGTGGCATGTATCAAGTACTCACAATGTTTGTAATAAAATGTTTCTACTGTTGTGTGTGTGTGTGTGTTTGTGTGTGTATGTCAGGGTCTCACTCTGTCACCAGGTTGGCACAATCATGGCTCACTGCAGCCTTGACCTCCTGAGCTCAGGCAATCCCTTCACCTCAACCTTCTGTCTCTGGGACTATAGGTACCCACTATCACACCCAACTAATTCGTTGTTTTATTTTTGAGTCGGAGTCTCACTCTGTCACCCAGGCTGGAGTGCTGGAGTGCAATGGCAACTGCAGCCTCGACCTGCTGGGCTCAGGTGATCCTTCTGCCTCAGCCTTCCAGGTAGCCGGAACCACAAACACATGCTACCACACCTGGCGATTTATTTATTTATTTATTTATTGTAAAGATGAAGTCTCACCATGTTGCCCAGGTTGGTCTTGAACCCATGGGCTCAGGCAATCCTCTCACCTTCGCCTCCCAAAGTGCTGGGATGACAGGCTTGAGCCACCACGCCTGCTTGACTAATGTTTTTGTTTTTTTTTTTTGAGTTAGAGTCTCACTCTGTCGCCCAAGTTGGAGTACAGTGGCACACTCACAACCACCACAGCCTCGACCTTTTGGGCTCAAGTAATCCTTCCACCTCAGCCTTCCAAGTAGCTGGAACCACAGGCACATGCCACCACGCCTGGCTAATTTTTTGATTTATTGTAGAGATGAGGTCTCGCCAAATTGCCCAGGCTGGTCTTGAACCTGTGGGCTCAGGCAATCCTCTCACCTCAGTCTCCCAAAGTGCTGGAATGACAGGCATGAGCCACCATGCCCAGCCCTACTATTGTTATATTTAACACAAGTCTGCACTGTTGGGGCTTTTGTGGGCATTGTTCATATACTGGCATGTTCCACCTACACATGGACCCTCTGAGGTTGTTCCTACTCTTTTCCCAGTTTTACTTTGCTCAGAAAGGTCAAGTGGCTTGTCTGGAGTGACAAGTAAGTGACTGTCCTGATTTGGGCTCTTCCAGAAGCAGGTCCCGAGGCGAGGGCTCTAGGACACGTCATTTATTTGGGAGGCGATCCCCTCAAAATATGGGTTGTGGTGTGGGGGAGTGAAACAGGGAGGAAAAAGTCAACCCACCAGAAGGCAAGGGAGCTGGTACATTGGTCCACTCCTGCCCAGGGGGTCATTTGCTGGGAGTGGGGGGTACTCCCATGGGGGGTAGGCATCAATTCCCAAGCTCATGGTACACACAGGTAGAGTGGGCTCCAGCCACCAGAGGAAGCCCCTAGAACGCAGGTGCTGCCAGCCAGAAGTCAGGCCACTGCATCCAGAAATGGGCTGAAATGGGCAGGTGCTGGTATCTGTCACAGCGGCAAAGCCAGGGCCCACACACAGGCCACCCAGCTGCAAAACCATTCTTTTTTTTTTTTTTTGAGTCGGAGTCTCACTCTGCCATCCAGGCTGGAGTGTAGTGGCACAGTCGGCTCACTGCAGCTTCAACCTGCTGGGCTCAGGCTATCCTCCTGCCTCAGGCCCTCTCCCCAACCCCCAAGTAGTCAGGACTACAGACACATGCCACCACACCTGGCTAATTTTTTTGATTTTTTTTGTAGAGACGAGGTCTCACTGTGTTGCCCAGGCTGGTCTCGAACACCTGGCCTCAAGCCATCCTCCCTCCTTGGCCTCCCAAAGTGCTGGGATTGCAGGCGTGAGCCACCATGCCCAGCCAAGACTGCTCTTTCATAGCCTGCTCTATGAAGCAGAAGCACATCGGGTTCAGTGGCAGGCCAATATGAGCTCACATCCACTGTGAGGGGCTGTGTGACATTAGGCAAGTCATTTAACCTCTCTGAACCCGAATCCCTAAGAATGAATCCTGTAAATAGAGCAGATCTACCTTATGTCACAGGCTGTGGGAATTGGGGGACAGCTCAGTTATGAAGCAGCCTAACCCAGTGCCTGGCCGAATGGAGGAACTGTGTTTCCTTCCCCATCAGGTCATGGTTTCCCTGTCCAAATGCAAGGGCCATCGTGGCCTCCCATGGAACCACATGGGGCCAGGAGCTGGCCTGGACCCACAGAGTCAAGGCTGGGCTTTAGAGCTGGCCCGGGTCAACTGCCTTAGACACCAGAGCCTGGCCACTGCCTCCACGACAACCACTGAATCCAGAGACGGCTTCCTGGAGTAAGGGCATTGGAGATGGGGTATGAAAAATGGGTAGACGTTTATCAGGCAGAGAAAGATATTCTAGGCAAAGAGCACGGTTTTGGCAAAGGCCATGGGGCTGGGATGTTTGAGCCCTGCTAGAGGAGCAGGAAGTATTTGTTCTGTCTCATCCCAGCTGTGTCCCCTTGGGGTAAACTCCTTGCCCTCTCTGAACCTCGGTCGCAAACTCCATAAGAAAAAGTCTGCTGGTACCCCCAAGCAGATACTTGGGAGGATATGGGAAGGCAGCAGGCCTGTTACCTCCTTATTGAACTCGCTGGACCTACTCAGCCCAGCCCAGCTGGGCCACACTTACCATCCCCAGATGGCCCAGCAGCCAGTTGCGGCGGGGCGGCTGGGGGAAACAGCGCAGCCGGCAGCAGGTAATGTAGAAGCGCCGGCAGAGCCCCAGAACCTGCAGCAGCAGGCGGAAGACGAAGAAGAGTCCCAGAAGGAGGAGGGTGGACACCGCGTATATGCGGAACGCTGTCTTCTCCAGCCCCAGGACATGCAGCAGGTAGTCTGTGACGGGCAGCATCCTGGGGACACAGGTTGGGGGAGGGGTCAGTGCCATACACACCAGGACCTTGGGGCAGGCGTGGTGTGCCTGGTGCACCGCAGGAGCCCAACCCACGGGAGCCCCAGACACCGAGGACACTCATCCTTCCTCCAGCTGTGACGTCCCTCCCTCCCACTGTGGGCCAGATGGATGCACACGGGGTGCACCGGGCACCTTGGCAGTTGCTTTTACAGGGACCCCTGTGATTCCCCCACCATGGGGCTTTCTCTGCCAGTGCACAGCTGCTCAGAGCCCCGAAAAAAAAGACCACCCTCCCTGGGGTACGGTGACCCTGAGCTGTGGGTTCCACATTCCTCCAGGTTTCTCCCGGGGGATTAAACTCCAGATGCCCACAGTAGACTCTCTCTCTCAAATGAGGTTTTGCTCTGTTGCCAGGCTGGAGTACAGTGGCATGAGCACAGCTCACAGCAACCGCCAACTCCTGAGCTCAAGCCATCCTCCTGTCTCAGCTTTCCAAAGAATAGCTGGGACTACAGGCGTGCACCACCATGCCCAGGTTTTTTTTGTAGAAACATGGTATCGCTATGTTGCCCAGGCTGGTCTCAAACTCCTGGGCTCAAGCAATCCTTCTGCTTCGGCTTCCCAAGTAACTGAGACTACAGGTGTGTGCCATTATATTTGGCTAATTTTTTTTTTTTTTT